TTACCATATAAATTAAAATTGCTATCAATAAATAGGGCTTGGTGATAGAAGGGTGAAAATTTAGGATTGTTTGTATGCATGCTAAGAAACATAATAGTAGCATAAGAAAGAGTTTTAAAATTAACTGTTTTTCGTTAAGATTACGCTTATTATTTCCATGCTATTCTATAGTTATTTATTTTATATATACAAATGTTATATAAGTAGCAATAATATTTTTTTGAGGTCGTCTCTTGTACTATGTTCACTTAACAATAGAAAATAAAACATTGTGAATTGATTCCTTTGGCTTTCCATTGTATTTTCAACTAGATGCAATTTGTAGGGAAATTAATAACATTGGTTGTGGTTGATATATAGGTACTATATATGTACATATAGTATGTTGATAGATTATGTTTTAGAAAAGAAAGAAAGAAATTAATTTTATTGTCAACTAGCTAATCGCCCCGGCTTCGACTGGGTGTACATGTATTATATATATAAACCTTCCTCTAGAATCACTCTATCTATTAAAAAATCCGCGTCGAAATCCGTTGTGTAGTTTTAAAGATTTAAGTGTACATAGGGACAGACAGACAGCGACAGCAACTCTGCTTTTTACTATGTAATGACTAACAACATGGATTTATAAAATAACAGTAAAATTAGACAAATAAATATATACGTGACGGCCTCGGTGGTCTAGCGGTCTGGCACACCGCTTTACTTCCGATAGTCGCGGGTTCGATTCCTCGCACGATACAAACATTTGTATTCATGAATATGATTGTTTGTATCTGTCTGGGTGTTTTCTATGTATATTATGTATGTATTTAAAAAAAATATAAATTTAAGTATTTATATCAGTTGTCTAGTACCCATAACACAAGCTCTACTTACCATAGGACTAGATGGCGCTGTGTTAATTCTGGGTTAATTATTTATCACATTTTATATTCGTATACCTTGTATTGTTATGTTGTCGTACTAGCTGTTAAACGCGACTTCGTTTCCCTTTTCTGAGACTAAACGTAGCCTCTACATCTTTAAGATCCGTTTAACGTATAAAGGTATCAAAACGGTAACATACAAACAGACGTACGTTTCCATTAAAGATATTACACTGCGACTTAAATTATCTTAAAAATGGACTGTATCTTAAAAATGACCGACTTTATCTTAAAATTGATCTGCGACTTCATTAGCACTTACATCCCTCAGCCCCTTACACATTATATTTTTAAGATACAACTTAGCTCATATATTACTACCCAATATATCTTTATATAAAACTTCATTAATATATATTCACTAGTATATTCATAAAACGATATCATACATACAGACACACATTCACAATTACATCTAACTGAAGTATTCCCAACCCCAGCATTGGGAATAGACAGTAATAATAGTCCTATAAGATTTTCCATTATTTCCACTTCATCCTCAGATTTGATTTAACAAAATTCCGAGGCCTACTCTAACAAATGGATACATTATATTAATGGTTGCCATTGCCGCTTCAGATGCGACAGAATTTCGCGACGTATGATGTGTTCAATTCACTTATATTATCACTACAATATATCTTGGTATGTGTATCTCAATTTAATAATAACCGCTCCCCTCTTTCTTTTCGGCTGAATGGTTGTGTTCACTTTGCTTGTGATTTAAAAAAGTGACAATCAAATTTTGTATCTGTGGCGAGCGAGCAGCGCGCGCGATTTTCCCGCCATCGCTAACGTTTTGTCTGTGGTTTTGTATTACAATTTCTATATGTATACTACGCATGTAGTATGGTGCTGACGTTTCTGTTAAATGAGTTTTTTTCATTTTTGTACATTTGAAATAATAGTATTGTTGGATATTTTAAACTTGTAAATCACCGAGGTAGACTTAAAATGTATTTTTTATGAAAGGAATGATGCACCAGTCTGTGCTAACGGTATACGCTGGCAGGGCGCTAGTGAAGGATGATAAGATGAGCATGAGGTCAGGTCGGTTAGCTCATCGTGGTAAATTCACCAGGAATTTATCACTGTGGTTTCCAGGGAACCGCGTGGAGGTCAACCTGACATGGTACATTGCTGGCAATGGGGTTAGTCCACATTACTAACAAACTCCTTCCCCTCAATGGGGTTGGTTTTTTATGAAAATCGAATGATGCACCCGCCTATGTTAACGGTTTACGCTGACGGGGCACCAGTGGAGGATGATAAGATGAACATGAAGTCAGGTCAGTTAGCCCATCGTGACAAATTCACCAAGAATTCATCACGATGGTTTCCAGGGAGAACCACGTGGAGGTCGACCTAACATGGTACATTGCTATCAATAGGAGTTACCAGTTCCCATTACTAACAATCCCCTTCCCCCCGGGGCACCAGTCTAGGATGATAGGATGAGCATGAGGTTAAGTCAATTAGGGCATCGTGATAAATTCACGATGAATTTATCACGATACAATAGGGATAAAATAGGGGATGAAAGTTTATATGAAACTTTGTCACTTTTAAACCGATCGGGCTGTGACTTTGCATGCATAAAGCTACTATGACATAGGCATCCCCTAAGAAAGGATTTTTATAAATTCCACTCCTAAGGGGATAAATTAACGCGAGCGAAGCCGCGGGCAAAAGCTATATATTTTAAAACTACTTTGACGACCACGGTGGTCTAGCGGTCTAACACACCACTTTACGTCCGATGGTCGCGGGTTCGAATCCTCGCATCGCACGAACATTTGTATTCATGAGTATGATTGTTTGTATCGGTCTGGGTATTTTCTATGTATAATTTGTATTTATGAAAAAAAAATTATCTACGTATTTGTATCAGTTATCTAGTACCCATAACACAAGCTTTAGCTAGCTTAACTTGGCTCTAGATGACGCTGTGTGAATTGTTCTGAGATTATGATTATTATTATTATTACTATATGTCGCCAATACTATCCTTTTTATATATACATATTATTTTTTTATAACCTATTTATGATTGACATCATTCAAACAAATAAATACTACAGAAGACTGAAAATAAGATTCATTCCCATCTCCATACTTAATCTTTATAATGGAAATAAAAATAACAATACCAAGTAACTAATATTTATGGTTGATTTAAAAAAAACAAAAGCAATTTTTAAATTACGCCACATCATTATCTGCTTCTTCCTTATCCCATTTATTTGTGGTCGTCGTAATATGTTTTTCTCTTCCATTCATCTCTGTTCGCAGTCATCTCGTTATTTACTCCCTTTCTCACCATATCATCTTTCACACAGTCCATCCATCTCTTTTTCGGTCTTCCTCTACTCTTATAGCCATCCACATTCATATGTAACACCGTCCTTAGGATATGATCTTCATTCCTACGCATTACATGTCCATACCACGATAGACGATTACTGTTCAACCTCTCTGACACCGGCGCCACTTTCATACTTCCTCTAATGTATTAATTCTTTATCTTATCCATTCTTGTCACACCACACATCCATCTCAACATTCGCATTTCAGTTGCATGCAGTCGTCTCTCATCCGTCGCCTTTATGGGCCAGCACTCTGATCCATACAAAATAGCAGGCCGGATCATGGTCTTGTAAATATTGGAAAGAAGAAAGAAAGGAAGGTGTTACACCTTCCTTAAGGCGTTACACCTTCCTTAGGATATGGTCTTCATTCCTACGCATTACATGGCCATACCACGATAGACGATTACTCTTTAAGTTAAGTTACGCCACAGACTTACTATAATATTACAGTAAAGTACCTATCGTACCTATTACAGCGCAGGACCGATCGTCGTGGAGATCTTTGGGGGAGGCCTATGTCCAGCAGTGGACGTCTTCCGGGCTGCGATGATGATGATGATGATGAAAGTACCTATATTACACTATGTTAAAGCAAATTGTATCGAATACGATTATTCAGTATATAAGAGAGCCACAAACGCAATAGATCAATAGACAAAAATACTAACATTCAATTTAACTTTCATTCAATCTAAAATTTGTTTTAATTTATATTTCAAATGAAATGAAAGGATATTTATTTAGTAGAAGAAAAAACTAAAACACAAATAAAACAAACAAAAAAAAAACAAATAGTGCGACAATTACAAAAAAAAGTGTACAAATTACGTGTGCGTGCATGTGTATGTCTGTCGAAGCATCTACTGAACAGCTCCGTGCTCAGCATAATGCTGCAGCGGCTGGAGCGCTGCAACGCTGTTTTTCAGCACAAGACCTTGGGTGGTGTATTGCTGTGTTGTACACGATTTATGATATGATATGGTATACTAATATATTATTATATACTAAATATATTATAAATATTTACGCACAACCACATTGTGGAATCACCTTCCAGCAATGGTATTTCCGAACCGATACGATATTGAAACCTTCAAGAAAAGAGCTTATTCCTTTTTAAAAGGCCGACAACGTACTTGCAATTCCCCTGGTGTTGCGGGTGCTCATGGGCGGCGGTAATCACTTACCATCAGGTGACCTGCATGCTCGTTTGTCCCCTGTGTTATAAAAAAAATATAATAATTTGATGTAATATATACATAAATACACATTTAGCTAAAATAGAGATAGTACACAAATGACAAGGAGTTAATAGATATAAATACAGTCAAACAAAAGAGATACAGGGTATAAAGAGACAGATATACATAATATCAAATAAACATATAAATAAATAAATAAAGTAGTATGGTATTTTCGTTATTAAGTATTGCTCAAAATATTTCATTAACAAACAATATAAATTTTATCTTATTCTTTTCTCTCTCTTATTCTTTATTTAAATTTAAAAATTATGGTGACGATTTTTAAATTTAAATAAAGAATAAGAGAGATGTAGTGTAATAACGCGCTGTTGCCGTTCCGGTCTCCGGTATTCACGGCCGCCGCGCCGGCCGATGTGCGGCGTTGCTGCATGGCGCCGGAGGCCGCCGGATACCGGTGGGGAACGCCCGGACAGTTGAATCCGAACCGACGCTGGGACCGTACGTCGTGTTTAATTATTTATTGTTGCATTTTTTTAACAGAATCACTTATAATTTAGTTTAATAATGTTTATACTAATTAAAATGTATGTTAGTTATACATTTCTGGTAGTAATTAATCACTAAATATCACATTAATCGATCGATTAGATAATTGTTCTAAATTTGAAATTTTTAGACCTGTCTTAAATCTACGTACCTACATCATTTTAAAGAAGTCCCCATTCAATCGATTGATTCTATTTTTAAATTTTGACATTACCTGTTGTTGACTACATGTTTTGGCGCCATTTTGAATTTTAAACATGGCGGAATTGTCTGACGAGCACAGCGATAGAAACGATCAAAGGTTAGTGTAATTTTATATTACCATTACTAGCTACTGTCCTCGACTTTGCTGCTTTTTTTAGATAAATGGAAACATCAAGGGATGAATCTACTAGTCTCTAAAATTAATTTAGTTTGTTAACAGTGTTTCCGTTACCGGAAGTTTAGTCGGAAATTGAAAATCATTATTTTCGTTTCGGTTAATTTCGAGCTTATGTACTATTCGATGTATACTAAATAATAAGTTGGAAAGGAGGATTGACACTTTGTTCATTAGTTTTTTTATATAATTAAAATAGTAATCATAATGACAGCGCCATTTTTTTTTTATTGGGTTTTTGGGCTATTGTCAGATGTTTGTAGTACCTGTAGCACTGCGACCTATATAAAACTATTGTGCTCGCCCTTTTCAAAGTTCGCTACCTAGACACGTCAGGGACAAGAATTGAAGGATATTCTTAGCAGCGATGGTTTTTATCTCCTCAGGAAAGAGTGTAAACTTTCCAAAGGAGATATTTCGTTTATGCATGAGTGGGCTACAACCACATAGGATGTGAAGCGGCGTTTCCTCTTCAGTTTGGCAGAATCTGCAGATACTTGTCGTGCATAGGCCTAGTTTAGCCATATGCTTGTTTAATTTGCAGTGTCCTGTGAGGGCCTTAATCATCATGCATATGTTGTTTTTACTCAATAGCAGTAGTCTATTGGAGTATTTGTTCGAGTAGCCCTATATTAGGGCTTTTGAATATGTTAATCCTGGCATTTCTTGCCAGTGATTCAGTGCTTCTAGTTTGGTTATTAATTTGAGATGTCCCAGCGCCATTTAGTCACAAGCTAAACAAAACTTGTATTATGTGTACTAAATTATTATAAATACTTAAATATATTTCTTTTTGTGAATATATACCTACATAATATAGGTAGGTACATAGAAAAAACCCCAGGTTGATACAAACAATCATAGTTTTAAAATTATTTACTTTATTTAATTCATAAATTAATTAATTTACAGTTATTATACTAGTGGTAATTTAGCTAAATTGAAATACTTGAAATTCTATATTTTAATCTCAACAACGTCGGAATATTTTTCGAAAATTTTATAAGTTTAATATCTGATTCTTGTATTTATCTTACAATGTTTATAATAATAATAATCACTATCTAGCTAAGAATATGATATAAATAAAATAAATTAAAAACCCTGGACAATTAACACAGCGCCATCTAGTCCCACGGTAAGCAGTGCTTGTGTTATGAGTACTAGACAACTGATGTAAATACATAGATTTTTTTTGTAAATGCAAACATAATATACATAGAAAACACCCAGACTGATACGAACAGTCATACTCATGAATACAAACGTTTGCACCGGGCGAGGAATCGAACCGCGACCATCGGAAGTAAGGCGATGTGCTAAACCGCTAGACCACCGAGGCCGTCAAAAATAATATATTTTTTTTTTATTAATTCACTAAGTGTGCATGACCACTAAACTATACTACACATCGGGTTCTGTTTGATGTTACATTGCTTACTTTGGAGTGTTCAAAGTGTGGAGGCCGTTCTTCCTGCTTGTATTTCTCCATCTCTTTCTATTATTTTTTTTTTTTAAATATCATCATCCATTCTCTATTTTTATTTATTCGTTATACAGATTCGTAATCCATTTTCCTCCCCAATTTTAATTGTTTCAGTGACGGAGCAAACTTCAAAAAAGCTGTTCAAACCCGCGACCTGATAGCCATGGTGAAACGCCATGGTTGTCTATGGGATCGAAGACACGAGAGCTACCGGAACAAATTCGTCAAGAGTAAAGCTTGGAAAGATATATACCGGGAAATCGAACCTGCGTATAACTCATTGAGTGCTACAATGCGACACCAAATAGGTAAGATTTTAATTAGACGAACTCGGTAGTTCAGTTGTTAAATACGTTGCTACGGTCATTGGTTCTGAGAACTAAGGTGTCATGAATTTATTCGCCGTAATTTATAGTTACAAATAACTAAAATAAAAGTGTCTGTTTGTAATTTACAGCTTAAAATTAATAGCATTTCTCTATATGCATAGGAAAATATACACGATTCTTGCATAAAACTTTAAAAACTATTGCCTGTGTGTGTTTGTTCTTGCTAACTTCTAAAACGGCTGGATCGATTTTGACGGGACTTTCACTCGCAGGTAGCTAATGTTATAAGCAGTAACTTGGCCACTTCCGTGTTAGAAATTTTATTTTATATTTTCACGTACCATTAGTTCTAAATATTAGCCTTATCTCTTCAAACAAAAGTCCTATATATATTCTGAAACCTGAAATACATAGATGAAACCGCTGACTTTGTACAAAGTCAACTTTGAATGTTTACTAATATGTCTTTATATCTCAGGTGTTTATATAACAAAAAAATGGTACAACGTTCGAGATTCATACGTAAAATCGAAGAGATCACGGAACTCTCGACCTTATATCTACACAGATGACATGACATTCCTAGATGCTGTTATAAAGAGTGACGAGCAGAGAGAATGCACCACTGGAAACGAGAGCGAAGAAGGTGATAACTGGATGAGTGAAGTGTTTATAGACGTTGATGAGGGTAAAGAGGAAATACCCAGCAAAAGACCTAAATATGACGTGTTAAATTTAGCCAAAGAAGATCAAACAGTGCTGGATGAAAGCTTGAACGATAGCAATATGGTTACCTTCCTAGCCAATCTGATACACAAAGAAGAAGATGAAGATAGAGCGTTCTTCAAATCAATCACTCCAGCAGTTAAAACTCTGTCTCAAGATGCTAAATTAGAGTTTAGGATAATGGTCATGAAAATTCTGAAAGGTTTAAAAAAGAAGCAGGGACTTGTTAAAAGGGAACCTTCTACATATAGTGATAGTGAATAAATTATTTTGTAATTGAAATGTATACGGAGTTGTTGTGACGTTCCTAGGAACGTCTAGAGCATCTAGATGCTGTTATAAAGAGAGACGAACAGAGAGATTGCACCACTGGCAACGAGAATGAAGAAGATGATAACTGGATGAGTGAAGTGTTTATAGGCGTTGATGAGGGTAAAGAGGAAATACCCAGCAAAAGACCCAAATATGACGTGTTAAATTTGGCCAAAGAAGATCAAACAGTGCTGGATGAAAGCTTGAACGATAGCAATATGGTGACCCTCCTAGCCAATCTGATACACAAAGAAGAAGATGAAGATAGAGCGTTCTTCAAATCAATCACTCCAGCAGTTAAAACTCTGTCTCAAGATGCTAAATTAGAGTTTAGGATAATGGTCATGAAAATTCTGAAAGGTTTAAAAAAGAAGCAGGGACTTGTTAAAAGGGAACCGTCTACATATAGTGATAGTGAATAAATAGCACTTTTTTGTAATTGAAATATCTATGCAGTTGTTATGACGTTCCTAGATGCTGTTATAAAGTGTGACGAACAGAGAGATTACACCACTGGCAACGAGAATGAAGAAGATGATAACTGGATGAGTGAAGTGTTTATAGACATTGATGAGAGCAAATAAGATATACCCATCACCAGCAAAAGACCTAAATATGACGTATTAAATTTAGCCAAAGAAGATCAAACAATGCTCGATGAAAGCTTGAATGACAGCAATATGGTGACCTTCCTAGCCAATCTGATACACAAAGAAGATGAATAGAGAGTGTTCTTCAAATCAATCACTCCAGCGGTGAAAACTCTGTCTCAAGATGCTAAATTAGAGTTTAGGATAATGGTGATGAAAATTTTGATAGTGAATAAATAGTGTTTTTTTAAACTGTCGGCCACTTGATGGTAAATGGTAACGATCGCCTTTTACCATGTGATGACTTCCGGAGGTCTAACATGTGTTAATGTAACTTCACTAAATTCACTCCCTGATCTCATCCTACAAACGAAGCACAGCTTATAATGCAGTGACTTAACGACTGAATAAGCAAACTTAGGCTTATGCTGGATAATCTACAGATTTTGCCAAGCTTAAGAGAAGCTACTACACATCCTATGTGATTGTCCACTCATGCATGAACGAAATATCTCCTTTGCAAAGTTTACACTCAATCCTGAGGAGATAAAAACCATCGCTTAGGAGCGATGAATGGAAGAGAAAAAAATATTACTCCGACACCAAATAAAGAGGATAAGGAAGAAGTAGATGATAATTATTAAGAAATCTTATTAATATGATATCATAAATGTGACAGTTTGTAATTATAGATGTTTGTTACTCGTTCACCCAGAAACTACTGAAGGGATTTTATCGAAACTTTACAGTGATATAGCTTTATACCAGAATAACACATAGGCTCCTAAGAATATCCTTCAGTTCTTGTCCCTAACAATAGATCTATGTAGGTCGCAGTGCTACAGGTTTAAAGCACTTCACAATAGTCCAAAACAATCCATAAAAAAAATAGCGACTGAAATAAGTGTGACTAAAGTATTCACCCGGATTACTATGTAAAAAGTTTACTTCGGTAAATCACATGACAACTATGAACTACATTGCAATAATGGTAAAAAAGACATTTAGATTAGACGTTCTCAGTTGTGTAGCGATTTAGCACACTGCCTGACTATCGATGGTCGCGAGTTCGATTATTGTAGGATACAAACACTTGTATTTATGAGTATTATTGTTTGTATTGTCTATGTGCAATCGCTAACAAAACAAATTTGAATTATGATACTAGAAAACTGATAGAAGTACATTAATACATTTTTTTTAAATACATAACAATAATAATGTGTCAACAATTATGGAGAATTGTTATTATATATTTTATAATAAGTATAGATAAGAGAGACATTTTAATCTGTGATTTTATCTCTATTGTTCTGTGCATGTAGTATGCAGAATTAAAAAAATTTGGCTGAGCTAAGTATTTCATTTCAACAACCATACCACCAGACGCTTTATGATGTATACATATAGACCGAATATACAGTAATATGCAATATTCAGTAGAAAAACATACACATAATGTTTTTCGAACTATCTGTTGGCTGCAGCTGACCGTTACAAGCTGTAAAGATCACTGATGCACTCCAAACCAAAGGAAAGACTTATGGAGCGGCTATAAGGCCAACTCCTACCTGATAACTTTAGTCAGAGGGCACCGATAGAAATTCAAACCTACGCCAGGTTTTCAGGTCGCCGTAATTTCGATCGCCTCTATGTTATTGTGGTGAAAAATCCTCAAAAGGCGTTGGCCCGCCCTGTAGATGAAGGGTAGGCCCTATTTCGTTTTTAGGGCGACCTACTTCGTTCTACTCAGTCACTCATTTTAGTGGGGCGCAACCTCCTTCAAGGCAAGCGCCCCGGCCGCAACCTCCTTCAAGGCGAGCGCCCCGGCCGCAACCTCCTTCAAGGCGAGCGCCCCGGCCGCAACCTCCTTCAAGGCGAGCGCCCCGGCCGCAACCTCCTTCAAGGCGAGCGCCCCGTCCGCAACCTCCTTCAAGGCGAGCGCCCCGGCCGCAACCTCCTTCAAGGCGAGCGCCCCGGCCGCAATGGGGGATAAAGGTAGAAGGGGTTTGTTAGTAATGTGGACTAATTACTCTATTAGCCCACATTATATAATTGCTAGTACCATGTTAAGTTGACCTCCACGCGGTTCTCACTAGAATACAGAATCTCCTACCTGACGGATAAGACTTTAGTCAGAGGTCACCGATAGAAGTTCAAACCTATGCCAGGTTTTCCCTGTCATCTTCCACTGGGGCGCCGTTAGCGTATACTGTTAGAGCTTATATTTCATTATTTAAAAAATGGGGGATAGAGGTGGGGTAGAGTTGGGTATGCCCCTACCTCTAAGGTCCAAGTCTTTAGGATCTATGGTACAAATGTAGGTTATCACAGACGGAGTAGTTAGATTCGATTTTGATTGTCAACTATTGACTTGAGACATAGGTACCCGACTTTACCTAAATATACATTTGAATCTAACGGGACGGAGAGAGAAGCAGTTTGTGAGTACCTCAATCACCGTTCAGTCAGTCAGGAATAAGAAATTAATTTTCTTTTATAGCATAGGGGACAAACACGCTTGCAGCTCACCTAATGGTAAATGATTACCTTCGCCCATTAGCACCCATAACACGAACGGACTAGCAAGTGCGTTGCCGGCCTATTAAGAAGGAATAAGCTCTTTTCTTGAAGGTTTTAATATCGTATCGGTTCGGAAATACTATTACTAGAAGGTGATTCTAAAATGTGGTTGAGTGTGGCAAAATGTTTCTAGAAAAAGGTACGATGAAGGACCGCAGTTTATCCAGATCATCAAGATGGTATATTGAATAAGAACTCTATATTTTTCCTGTCACAGAAAATATACAAATAAAAAACATATAATTACAATAAGAGTTAACAACGAGAAGCCTTATCACTAAATAGCAATTTGTTTTCTTTTAATATAGATTCGAACTCAGAGTCTACCTGATCTCTATCGGGCTAGTAAACCACTGAACAACAACGGTACAAAATAATGCATTTAAATTAGACGAAATCCTTGAGATATTTTAAAAAGCAACAACGTCGGAATATCCTAAAGAAAATGGCTTATTTCGGCAAAATTACATGGCCTAACCGCACGGCCTCTCAATTATTTCGCCAGAGGGCTCTGTAATTACAAAGAAGTCACGTATTACGACTATGTAATTTGTCACTTCTCATTAATGGATTACAATGTAATTTCGTTGAGAAATTTCTTACGTCGAATTCGCTTTTGCCGTTTTCTTTTTGTGGAAATAAAGTATGAGCACTCTAAAGACAGCTTCAACATGTGGGTAAGATTAAAAAACAGTATTTCTATTCAAAGGGGGAACTCTGATTGTAGCTTAAGTTGCCTAAAGGGACTCCTTTTAAAATATTTCAGTTACTACATTATATTTTTTAAGTTCATTGTTTTAATTTAAAATTACTTTAGTTATATATAAGTAAGCGGCAAAGTTATTAAATTTGTTAACAAGTTGCAAATTAAATTGAAATGAAATTGTTTTATTTGTAATGATTGATTAAATATAAACAGCATCCTAAACACCATATTCAATATTTCGGATTGTCCGCTCCAGAGAGACTGGATATCGCTGCATTGCTGCGGAGCCCTGGGGCTTCTGGACGTGGACATACACTTAAATATATGAATTAAATGTATAAAATTGTAATTTACTAACATACTTTATAACTTGTTTACTAACATAATATGGATACATATACGAAATAAATGAAATAAAAATAAAAAAAAAGATGGATTAAAAATAATTTAAAACGCGTAATTGAAGAAGACAGTGATACAAGTAATTTATTCTATGACCTTTGAAAATGTGATTAACATTACAATTCAATATTTTCTTGTAGTATTTACAAATTACTTTCCCAAAATATAATTGAATTTTGATATATATATATTAGACTAATAATAATACTCCTAGACAATTCACACAGCGTCATCTAGTTCCAAGCTAAGCAGAGCTAGTTTTATAGACAGACGACTGATAAAAATACTTAGATTTTGTAAAGATCTATAGAAACAATTATATATACTTTGTGTCATTCATAGGAATGGAACCCACAACCATCGAAGTCGTCAACATTATTATTGAAAATGTTTTGAATATATCGAAGCACAAAATATTTTCGCATTCTATACTTAATGTAGCGCCATCTAATGTTAAAAAAGTTAATTAATTCCGACAACCATCATTTTTCAAGTCGGCTAATACTTAGATATTTTTTGTAAATTCATAATATACATAGAAAACACCCAGGCCGATAAAAACAATCATACTCATGAATACAAATGTTTGTACCGTGCGAGGAATCGAACCAAGTAAACTGCTGTACCACCGAGACCGTTTATAATCTTAATGATATATTTTTTATACTATAAACGCGAAAGTTTTTGAGTATGGATGTTTGTTACTCTTTCACGTAAAAACTACTGAACGAATTTTGATGAAAATATACAGTAATATAACTTATGCATAAGAATAGCATATAAGGTATAATTTTTATTGAAACTTAACACGGGTAAAACCGCGTGCACATCTAGTATATATAATCGTCATAATGTATAAGTACATTATGGATTACAACCATCGGTATGACTTACCATAACTTATTAATCACTTCATCCCTAACTTACTCAGCTTTGACCCAACTTTACGTGTCCTCACTTGACCCAAGAGTCTTGGGCCAAGACCCAAACTTGCCCCATATTCACCTATGGATCCTTAATTGTTAAATACGCTACACACCGGGAAATGATTTTGACTGTCACTTTACAACTTTTATACCACGACGGTGTCATTCAAGCATACGGCTCACCTTATGGTAAACGGTTACCGTAACCAGAGAATGTGAAGCAATTTTTTGGTAATGATGAGTAGCGTATGGACGTCTGAAACACAATTATATTTTATATTAAGACTAGCTGTCCCGGCAAACGTTGTTTTGCCTTAAAATAAAAAAAGAAAAATTAGGG